TATTTGGATGAATTCGGGCACGAGCTTCCTTATTTTGCATGCGAGTGACACGCAGCAGGGATACACGAATCCCGAGTGGCGTATAAGCAAATAAGCTGAGAAAGATCATTCCAGCAGTTGGAGAAGGAGAGGGAACCAAAGAAGATAAAATACGCCACGTTTATATTTCAAAAAAAAAAAAATTGGAAGACACTGTTTGTTGAGGCTGGCGTTGCTGTCCTTTATCTTAGCGTACGAAGGTAAAGCGAGATGTTCGAAGGGTACTCGCAGTAAGGAGGTTTGGCGTAAAGTGAAAATGATTTGTGTTTCGACGCTCTGATATCTTGGCGGAGACGTGCCATGGTTGTCCATTTTTCAAGGAGCTTATAGTATGGACCAATGTAGTTTGAAAACTTTAATACACATTGGTAGGTTGCCTTCGCTTTCGACAGTTTAAAATGCGAAAGAAAAGAATCCCATACACGCCGTGACAAGATAGATATGCAGCTCACATGTTCACAGCCAAACTCAACGGAGAGAGATAGAGAGACAGCGGTATTGTTCGGAGCTTCAACAGCTTCTCGGTGATGTGCACTCCCGGAATCTTGTACGAAGGATTGCGTGCACATTTTCCCATGACGTCACGTCTGGTGCGGCCGATTGGTTGCCCGCAGTGTCCAGACAGGTGGGCTGTTGGCGGAGCAAGGTATACAATAGCGAAGCAGGCGCAACGCTGTGAAACCGGTTGCTAGGCAACGCGAGGGGCCGTCGTCGAGGCACGGATTTTTTTTTCCCGCATTCAACAGACTACGACTGTCTTAAATAGCTCCACAATTAAAGCTAACTAGCGCTGCTTAAGTTAACGTTAACGTTCTCAGTGCTTTATTAATAATAATACTATCACTAATTACTATTAACACTATGCATTCGAAAAAAGTGGGCATAATAGGGAGCAGAAAGAATGATCTTTCGCGCTGTTTTGATATAAAATTAAAACGCTGCTGAAAATTTTAAAAAGACGCCGACCAAGGTTCAAATATATTTACTTTGACCTTTGAGATTCATCGTGAACTGTGCTCACGTGTGGGCGTCGAAACTTCAAAGCAATTATGTTTTTATTGTGGTGGGCGTCTTTCAATCTTTTCGCCAATCTTCCGTCCCGACCAGACAAGATTTTATGATGTTGTCAACTTCGTAAAATTAAATATTGCATTTCACAAGACGCCCACCTGCCCAATCTCTGTTTTCATGACGAGATATTCATTTTGCTCAATGACACTCTACCTCCTTCGACCCTAGCGATGGCAAAACTATGGTTTTGCCTCTCTTTCTCTCTCGCTGTCTCTTGTCTCTCTCTCTCTTTTTTTTTTTTTTACCGATTCCATGGTGTTTGTAAAGCGGGCTTCTTCCTACGCAGCCTGTTACTGCGGGGAAGTTATCTCTAAAGGTAGCCTTTTACGGCAACGTAGTCAAAGGACAACTCAAAAGTAGTTCATGCTCACCAAGTTCAATCGCATCCGCAATTTGTGCATGAAAATCACATGCAAAAGAGCCGAATAGCGGCTACTACTTGCTAAATTAACTTATTTCTTCTAAAATATCATGTTTATTACTTGATTAATTATAAGTACGCTCATATTTAGAAAGAACGCTGTTCTGCGAGGGTGTAGGTGCTTGACTTTTGTTAATGCAAACATAACTTTAGATAATGCAAACAAAGTAGTGGTACTTATAATCTCCTATCTTTCTTAAAAAAGCTCTCATTACTTACAAAGTTGTGTGGTTTAGGCACCCGCGTGTACGACGCTATAATAATAGTAACCCAGTGTTACCTAAATGCGTTGCATCCACTTGTAATGCTATATTTCACTATTGCATGAAAAAAAAAATGCCGAACAGTCATTATCGCTTTGTTCCTTTACAAACTCCAAAGTCAATCTAGACACCAGTCACTGTGCATTTATATGAAAGCTTGTTAACGCGGTTTCATATACATCTTACCAAAGAAGTGCAAAGCAGCAGCCGTCGAAAAGGAATATTGACATTTTAATTTACTCTTATTTCAATGGAAAAGACGATGGAAACCCATGCTGTAAAGAGGGTATTGTGAACACAAGGCTGGTAGCGACGGTTTTATTTGCTGGCTTTAGTAACGCGTTTTGTGATACGATCAAAGTATGACATGCCTATTTAAAGATTATTGCTCGGAAATTCTTTTTTTTATTTCAAAGTAAAAAAAAAAGAAAACTGAAGTACAGAGTAGAAACACGCGGAAAAAATAAGAGGTTGGTTTTTCGCTGTTTGAATGATTCGCTTAAGCTAGGGACGTAATAGGGTATTATACTCATAGGACGCTAAAAAAGCAAGAAATGGTTGAATTAAAACGGTCGAAAGAAATACGTTAAACGTGAAAAAGAAAAAGAAAGAGAACAAAACACGTAGATTGTCGTCCTTACCTGGCCTAGGCATTTTTATCAGATGAAATGTAGTGCCTACTGTTCAGTGTATATTGCCTTTCGGCGCAGTCGTTCTGAAGTGATAAACTGACAGGGTTCAATTATGCATTCGCCCAAGACGACTGTTGCGAAGTAGTGAAGTAGCCCCTCGCGTGTGTAAGGCAATATGTACGCCTACGTAGAGAGAAAGAAACGCCTTTCCGAAAATCGTTACCGCGACGATCTCGTTACTGCTTGCGTTTCCAAGGTGTAGCCACACACTGCGTTTACGCTGTGACTGGTGATGACGACGATGACAAGAATGACTAATATTGGCTGAAATTTTTTTAATTGGTGGGTAGGCTTTTAATCACTCACACGTTGCGCACTCGACATGGCGTGACACCTGCAGCGGTTCTGTAATTATTGCATGCAACAGCGCATCTGTTGACGTGGCTCCTCGATCGCCATGACACTAAACAGACAAAGATATGGAGAGAGAGAGACAGACAGCTGGATAGATAGATAGATAGATAGATAGATAGATAGATAGATAGATAGATAGATAGATAGATAGATAGATAGATAGATAGATAGATAGATAGATAGATAGATAGATAGACGGACGGACGGACGGACGGACGGACGGACGGACAGACGGACAGACGGACAGACAGACGGACAGACGGACAGACAGACGGACAGACGGACAGACAGACAGACGTCAGCGCCACAATATTGAAGCCATAGTCTTAACCAGAAGGTATTACAGAGGTGGCAAAAAGCAAAAGCACAATAAGCCCAGCGCGAAAAGCTCCAGAGGGGCCCTGCTCCCTTTGGCTGGCAGTCGACGGGGGAGGCCTCATTTCGCGGCCTCGTTCTATTAGGTGAGTGACTCGAACCTCCCCATTCAATCGGGCGCAGTGCCCCGCGGCACGGAAGGGTCGTTTGTTTTACGGCAATTTCCGGAGGTGGCGGAGGCCATGCCCGGCGTCTTCGCTTCTATGCGTGGCAGCAACTCAATCTCGCTGCTATTCCACACCCCCCCCCTCGCTCGCATTGTTAAGGGGTCGGACAGTGTTGGGACTGATTGATTCATTCGAATGGGACTTGGAAACGTTCACGGCTACTGTTACCCGACTTTGCCGCCGGCGATTTATTGTTTAATTATTAAAGACACCACGGAGTCCACGATACGTTCGGCGTGATTTGTTGCGGTCATCAGCTTTCCTTGTCTAAATCGTGGCGGGTCACTTTTGGCTCAAGCGGTATTGTTTTTAATATGGAGTAGTTTGGGTAAATGTTTCTTTTTTGTCGTGTAATGTTATCGTGTTTTCCTTGAATATGCATGCACCGATATTGTTGCGCGAACTTATAAGGTTTCTGTATATGGTTTTCAGTGCTACCCACAAGATCACTTGAAAGGAGTACCTCAAGCTCAGTATTATGAACTTGTGACTTTTTGCATATTCTGAACGACAGGTACCCTGCAATCTTGAGAAAACTGTAAATCCGATAATATTGTAGGTTCAATTTATACGAATCTTACAATCAGATTTCAAAAAAAGTACATAACTTTAAGAGTGTAAGGATTTTATCGTGTAACTCAAATTCATGTAGGATGAAAAGAAAAGAAAAACTGGAGGGCTCGATTATTTATTTTGTTTGATACAACAGAGAGAAACAGAAAGCACAGGAAGGCCGGGACGCATGTCCTGTTTGCTACCCTGAACTGGGGGAGGAATAAAGGGACAAAAAAGGAGGCACAACAAAAAAAAAACAAAAAAAAACAGGCAAGCAGAATTATGAGCAAACTTGGGAGAGCACATGAAGTCTGCTGGCATCTCTCAAATCTGCTGATTTTAGCTACTTACGTAGCAGTTTAGTTTTCTTCTGCACCTTCGGAGGACATGTTCAAGGTTCTAAAAGAATTGTTTACGCAAAATGGTTTCGAGTTCCTTTGGTCCAAAAGTATACGGAGAAGGCCTGGATGGGCGTCATGGGAGCTGCAAAGGGCGTGTTCGATTGTCCTGCTTGGTTCAACTTTAATGAAAACTAACAGACACCAAAGCCGAGGAAGTTCAAGGGGATGTTAATTGTACCGTTGTAAGTGGACGAAACGAGAAATAAGGACAAACTCAACCCGTCGGGGACCGAACCTGCAACCTTCGGGCAACGCAGCCGCTGTTCTACCAGTTGACGACAGTTATAGCGCGAGAACAAAACGACGACACAGAGACAAGAAGTCCTTCTTGTTTCTGTGTCGTCATTTTGTTGTCGCGCTATAACTGTCGTCATTTCATACCAACTAGCCCAAGCTGCCACACTTCTACCAGTTGAGCTGCGTTTGCTAATATATCGGTTGTATAAATCGAAGCCTAAATTATTAGTCCGTGCCGCTCGTTACCATGATGACCAGTGGGAAACTTTGCAAGGTCGTCCTTTTTTTCTACAGCCCTGTGTACCTCGTTCAAGAGCGTAGAACACTTTCTATTAGCCAGTTGGCGTTCCTCAGTACTGAACACTACTGTGGTTGTTTGCCTGCAATGTTCTCAGCACGTTTCGTTTCCTTCTGGACATGCGCAGAAGCAGGCATCGCTGATCCGCCAGCTGGAGGAAGAGCTGCGGATGGCGCACATGCGCAATCCCGACGCCGAGCTACGTCAGCACCTGGACGCCCTCTACGCCGAGAAGGAGCACATGGCCAAGGAGATATTCCTGCTCAGAGAGACCATCAAGGTGGGTGAGAGAGCAAGATAGTGAGTGAGTGTGAGTGAGGGAGTGAGCGAGTGAGTGAATGAGTGGGGGAGTGAATGTGAGTGAGGGAATGAATGTGAGTGTGTGTGTTTTTGCGAGTGAGAGAGAGAGAAACTAGTACCGCAACAGAGCAAGAGAGACTTGCAATTTAAGAGCTGGGCGACTACGGAGATTTAAGCTGCTTACTGCAGGATGACTGATTCTGTCAGTTTTTTATTAATGTCTATCTCGTAGATCTCCAATTAGCGTGTGCACGCTCGATACAGCGTTCGTAGGGTTTCTTTTTCTGCTTGGTCACTTTCACCGAACCAAGCAAAGCGGGACAGTCTCGAAGCCTTGGTGTTCCTGGTATTTATGACAGTTCAGCCGACAGACGCTTTATCCTCAACGTCTTTTCAGGTTAATTTCTGTCACTGCTTTGGCTGAGAAACTAGAAATAAGTTGCAGGCTTACGTGGTGATCAAAAGAACACATCCATACAAAAAGTTGAGGTTAAACGTGGTGATGGTGGTGTTGCTGCAACTGGGCTCAAGAGCAACACCAAGAAAAATGTTCAGTTTTGGATCTGGCATTTACACGTGCATATGTAAACGCGCGCAGGAACCACATGAACATACATAAAGAGTGACCGAACGCCCTCGATGCCCCCCCTTCTCACCCTCCTCCTCTGATCTGGAAAACATTCTGGCTACGCCCTGAATCTGAACGGATGATATGCCTTGAAGCGCATTGTTGGTGGGCTCTGCCGTGCAGCACGTCTGCTCGGATAGAAGACTGACGTGCCCTTGTTCTCGCTAGGCTGTGTCATGACTTATCAGCCCTGTTTACGACGTCTGCAGCCGCGCGCTCGTAGTTAGCGTGCTTAATTATGCATAAGTAACGCCATTTAGCGCTTTCATTGCGTACCACATAGCGGACAGCATTACTCTCGCAACAAATCCTTGCGGTAATTATTTCCTACGCTGTCGAGGTAGCATTTTGCTGCACAATGATACCGTGACGGCTCAATCACCACCTGATATTATTGCAGTTTTCAGGTATAAAATCACATTGTGCACGTCATACGGGCGTTTTTTCATGCACTATAACCACGAACACATGAATGAATGAATGAATGAATGAATGAATGAATGAATGAATGAATGAATGAATGAATGAATGAATGAATCGGGTCAGTACATTTTTTTTAAAATCAAACAGTGCTTCACATGGGTTGAAGCGAGGTACCATGTCTGTGGTTCTCGCTTTGTGCTAGCTCGACGGCCGTAATTATTGATAATTTAATCAATGAATAATTAGTTTGTTAACGGCAAATAATTAACAAACACACGTATTTATTCCTGTTTATTGATTTATATGTGCTGAAAATTCAGAAATGAATAAAGCAATGAATTACTTCCATTTGTTAATAAAATTCCAAGAGACTTCGACAATCTTTTTTGTTAGCGAGTAATTCCTTTATGCCGGATTTCACATATGGAGAGTGGGGCAATGAAAGAGCAATGTAGAAAGCTGGAGTTTATCTCTGTTTTCTTTGAGTGACACGTCATGTTTCTCATTCCTAAATTGTTTCGATCTTCCTGTCTTAAACTTTCTCTCCTTCATGAACAAAAGACAACCACTGAAGCACTGCAGACAGTGCCTCTGCAGCAGTTGCTGAAGCACATGTTTCTTTCTTTTATATTCGTTCTATCTTTTTGTGTATACATTGCTTCTTTGAAGTCGAAGGGCTCAATGGAATCGCGCATGGCCGGGAGGGTACATTCTAAACAGACAAGGGACAGTGACTAGGCCAAACAAAAGTTTCCTTTCTTTCTGTGCTGGTCGCTGACTATTTCTCTTCTGCTAAGAATATTGGTTCTTCAGTCGAACCAACGATTCTGTTTGAGGCGTTGGCTAAACAATGCCTAATGTATCTTTTGAAGCGGAGTTCAAAGGAGTCTCTCGCCGCGTGCTTCTCTACGAAACGAGCCGTGAATAACGGCACCCACTGTGACTCTAAAGCCGTTTCTTCTCCTTCTTCGCAGGAACTGGAGCTGAGGATAGAGACGCAAAAGCAGACGCTCGCATCGCGAGACGAGAGCATCAAGAAGCTGATGGAGATGCTGCAGAGCAAGGGCGTCGGTGGGTTCAACTCCGTCTTCGGTGCCGATAAGCTCGTGACCGGAATCGTGGAAGCGCCGTTCGGCGCTATCGCGAGCAGCAACATTAACGCCGGCGCCGCCGCTGACAGCTGCCGCTCGATTGATCGGCTTCTGGCGACGCTGCCATACCAGACATCGCTGACCTCGGCCCTCGGCCAGTCTGGTTGCCCCGCGCAAAATGCTAACCACGGCATTTTCTCGTCGAGCGCCCTTAACGATCTCTCCGCGCTGCTGGCCTAATTAGTGATAATTTATGCGTTCTGGACACGGCCGGGACTTGTATAATGAAGGTGCAAAAAATAGTAAAAAGTGTCATATCACGCCTGGGCCTTGTCGGAAGTGACAAAAGGAAGTTGTGATGGCCAAAAGAGAAAAAGAAATAGAAAACCTTGCGAGGAAGAGGCAGGATTACTCGTTAGCTCCGGTGCGTAAGGGTCGAGGATTGGGAAGAGAGGATTGAGGGGATTGGGGTGTTCGGACGAAGATGGTGTCATGAGTCACTGAGATTATCAACGACAGTCTGTATTGCGCTAGTTAGTCGGGTTACCGTAGCTCAACCTATTAGACAAGTAAGTTTTACTTTGCTTCGAGGTGAATACATGACCCCTTCCCCCCTTCCCTCTTGTTACTATTTGCATAAGTAGAGGGAACAAGTAATCACTTTGAGTACTTAAGACATAAGTTATTGGGTGAAGGAAAGAAAAAAAAAATCACTTTCAGTACTGAAGACCAAAGTTATTGGGTGAAGAAAAAAAAAACAGATTAGCGTGCTTAAAATGACATGGTTACTGCAGATTGATGAGTGCACAGTAACTTTACGGAAAGTCAGCCTGAAAACAGGGTAATATGTACTTGCTTATGAGTTTGGAAGAAGCCTACACTTCGTGTAGGATGTCCAAACGCGTGTAGTCGTGTAGGATGTCCAAACGCGTGTAGTAGTTTATTGGTCACTCGTCACTATGTCATTTGGACATCCTACACTTCGTGTATGAGCGAGTCATGTAGGTTCGACACGTTCAGTAACCTCTACGAGACTCGTGGCAAGGTTACTGACCGAATGGTATTACATATCACTCGCATACATACAAACCACTCGTCCAATGTCACGTATTGGAGAACATATATGTACCGGATATGTTCGAGCAATTGCACTTGCGTGCGATCCTAAGGCATGAAAAGTTTATTTCGCGCTCCTCTCTGGTCTGAATCTGCCTAGTACATGTTAAAGCTGCCTAAAACACGGCAGAAGAAGAGGCGTACGAGGCCCCTCACAGCAAGTTTTCTTACGGCTCATTCGACATTTACGCGAAAACAATACCCACAGAACGCAGGTTATCCTGAGCACTACGAAACAAACTTAGTCAGGCACTCGTAGTGGAAGTCTATCATATCATATACACACTCACGTGTTGTGCGTAGATGAAAACCGTAGCGTGATAGTGCGTGTGAAACCAAAATACCATTATCATATCAATACAACAGATCAGTATTAGAGTACTAAATATAAACGTGTAGCTGTAGTGGTTGTAGTGATGCTGTGACAGGCGTAGTTCGTTCATTGTAATTGTGATATGTACTCAGCCAACCTATATATAAGACAATACTGCCTTTATTATGTGGGACATAATAGTTCCGGACATATTACATTTACTGCCTGTATATAAAAAACTTTTTACCCAGTGCCCTGCAAAACAATTTCAAAATTTTAAATGCTTAGATAAGCACAGAACCATAAATACGCACTTTCTATTCCTCTGTAATCTGTAGGTGCACTGTTATAGTTAGTTATGTCCAAATTTTTGTTGTTGATGTGATGTACTTCTATACTACGAAATACTTGAGAGGTGGTCATTCCCCATATCGACCAGCAGGATGTGACTGTCGTGTACTTTAGTTCCTATATGATGTGTGATCTCCATGTTGTGTTTTATAGGCTTTCGCGATTACTTTCGTGAATTCGCATAACATTTCTGTCATTTGAGCTTGTGTATTGATGTCAAAATTTTGTGTGTTTCTTGATTACCCTCTACTATTGCGGGTCATGTGTCAACAAGTCGACTTTTATCAATGACTACGTTTTTATTATACTGTATTCGCGATTTCGTTGTACGTGTTAGAAATTCGATTCCTGGTTATATATGTGCCTCTGCAAAGCGAGTCTTTTATTTGGCCACATATGTGCTGCTGTCACTGGATGTATCGTTGGCGTGACAATAAAGTGATTAAAGCAGAATCTGCACTGAACTCGCTCTTAGGCAGTACTTTCCACGCCTCCGTCTTTCTTGTTAAGCTCAAGTTAAAAGTAAGTTCTCCATGGCCTTGCTGCGTCAGGACAGCATAGTCAGTTGTATTATTCGGATATGTAGCGTAAGCTCTTAAAAAATAAAAATTTAAAATATGGCGCTGCCTCGCAGGGGGCCAGATGCTGGATGAACAGCGTATGGAGATGGAGCGACTCAAGAGCCGCCTCATCGAATCCGAAGCCCGTGCGCGCCACCTGGAGACCATGTTGGACACCAGAGACCGAGACATTGGCAAGGTACATTGGCCTTCTGAACACGAACGCGCTTAATCGTACAGCTCGCATCACTCTCCCGATTGCGAACGCGGGCATTTGGATTCGTCGAGGTCAGGTCTTAGAATAGGGGTCTCAAACAAGCTGCCCAGCTCCCACTTTACTGTCTTCGTACACTTTTGTTTTATTAAATAGCTAGAGAGATGTGACTGGTTTCAAGCACTTCTTTTTTCATGAGGCGTCCCATGTGTTGAAACGTTATGTGTGTTGAAACATAACCGTGGAACATATACGGAATATCTGAAACCGGTATCCCGATTTCAATTATCGTGGAGGCAAGTATCAACGTGTTCTTTCATTAATGACGTCCAACCCCCTTCATAAGTGACCTATGAGGTGAGGTACAGGGAAGGCCTTCTTTCTTGGGGCAATGACTGCTGACATTTTGTTCAAGTGTAAATGAATTATGGGGGCCATTCCATTCCCATGTGACCCACTGTCATTTTTTGTGGAACTCCCTCCCCCTACCCCTCAACCCGTGCTTTAACTTTCTCCAGGCTCCCGACTTTTGCGGCACGCTGGTGAGGTTAGTTTGAGACCCCTGACTTAGAAAAACTGTGTGTTGGTCGAGTTGGTAATCCATACTGACGACAAAACTGCTCCCATCTCGTGTTCTCTAGTCATCTCTCACTAAGGAGAATGTTGCTGGAGCCGATTTTTTGGCATGTTAGATCGAATGTTAAATTTTTATACAGGCGTCTCTGAGAAGCGTCTTTAAGGTTCAGCGAATTGCCGCATGAAATAAACTGACTATTCGAAGCTTCGCGTCAGTCGAAGCTTCCTTGCCACGTGTTACCGTGCCACCGGAGAAATTACTGTGAAAGTCGAGTTTATGTCTTTCATGGGCTTCACAAGTGCTTGCCCGTGTATGCTCTCAAAATACGCGTCTGGCATTTGCGGCCTGCTTTTTGCTGGTATTGCGGAAGGAATCAGCCACCCATGCCTCATTCACATATGTATATATTGGCAAAATCTTGAGCACCTCATGGACGCAAGTACTGAGTGGACACTGAAATGAAACAATGACTTGGTTTAGATTATTAAATTGTACTTTGAGAATTCCGATGTCACAAATTTCACTATCATAAACTCATTATAAGGAGAGAAAAATCAAGGCTTAAATTTCATTTTTGACTTTCGCGCTGAAACCTCGGCGTGTGACGTCACCTATTTAAAAATGCATTTTATCGTATTTGCGTGACATGGACTTTACAAAATTTTTTTAAAAATTGGTATTAACACCAACAGATTACACCTACAGATAACCATGGTGTATGACACCCACATATGATAATGTACTTCATCTTTACCTATTCTAAGCCACATAGGACGTAGTAGGCGCCTTCACAATTTATGACCTCGTGGTGTTCGGTGCGCGAATCACAAGGTGGCGTTTCCACGCACATGTTCTTTTTGCGCATTTCCTCTCCTATCAAGCGTCTTCTTGCAATAAGAGTAGTTTTTTGGGACGCAAAAAATCGTTTTTATATCACGTGTCCGTCGGGGAACAATAAAGAGAACAAATATTGTCACTTTAAGGAAACGACATTTTCTGCAATACTGTGGGAGCGCCAACCTTCCTACGACAAGACTTCTTGGCATGCGAGTAGATGCACAAAAACACGATAAATTTGGCGATGCTGCCTTGAAGTTTCCACACCAACTCGCTGTCTTTCCTCTATTTTTCTTAGTCGCACTTTCTCTCATTGACGTCTACTGTGGTTTATAAAATGCTCAGTTGGTAAACAGTAATTAGTTATTACCGGTAATACAATGCACTTATCTGATAATTCCGCTCGTTCATATCAAAGGAAACCATGAGAATTGCATGACAAGGAATTTTTATTGAGTTGATCTTGAGAAAATGCATAAAGAGACCTCGAAATCTATAACCATCATACTGACGTGTACGGGTGTTGGAGCTTGGGCATGAAATTTAAAAAATGTTACCATCAGTTCCACTTTTTTATTTTTTGATAATGAGCCTAGTGTTTCAAGACAGTGAGATAAGAGCGCTCGAAGAATACGCTATCAGCATAAACTGATTTAGTGTAGCGCTTTAATGTCTCTTTAAAGCAAGCACTGAATTACAAATCCGGACTGGTGAACGCATCTAGACCCAAGATGGAACCGCGAGTTTCATTTTTTTTGTTCCGGAAATTAGGATAAGGTCACAAAATACGTCGCAATAGAGTTATCAAAGAATGCCTTATCAGTCTAAACTAATTTATAACAGGCCTTTAATGTCTCTTGAAAAGGAACACTGAATTACAAATCCTGATTGGCAAATGTAGACATTACGTAGACACAAGTCCTTATTGGGTACACGCTATTTAGGCATAACCTGTTATCAAAGACTGCTCATTTGTAGTGAGCTGAAGAGGTGCAACGGCACATTTAGTTTGCCCGAAAGTCGCAGTTTCCGACACAAGGTATTTGCTCGACGATCTGTCAAAAGCAGTGTATTCTGGAGCACGGAGCAGTTGAGAACAACATCGTTGACGCTGCGCGCACGGCCGGAGATGGCTGCGCTACCCCAGAACAATGGCGCTCTTTATCGGAGGAGCTAAGAACTACTTATGGAAACCACATTACCATGATGGAGGCCATCTTGGACACCAAGGTACGTTGCTCGAAAATCTCTCGGCAGAATGAAGATTACGGCCTTCATCATTTAGAACTTTGCTTAGATAATCAACGATCCATTTTTTTAGTTTTGTATCAGCCGCAAAAGCTTGTACAATTCAGCTTATATGCTTAAGTTATGGTCAAGATTATATATAATTTGTTAAATGTAATTTCGCAAGGTTTTGCCTGCTGTAGTGATGCATGCATTTTTTGAGATCTATTATCACTATAGCTGCATGAATGTTCTTGTGTTATTGCTGTATTAATATATATTATTATTATTATTATTATTATTATTATTATTATTATTATTATTATTATTATTATTATTATTATTATTATTATTATTATTATTACAAATGAGACACCTTTACCAGGAAATGTGAGCAAATGCTTCTATCGACTAAGCAAGGTCAGTAAGGCTCAGCATGAAACGCAAGCAACGCCCACCCCAGAAACTCTCTGTACGGGTCAATTAGTCCTAAAACCTCAATCACACCCAAAAGAAACATATAAACTGAGGAAGTCATTATGATTGCATACCGAAAAGTAAAGCATCAATTAGCATGCAAAGAAGAAAACATGGACTCTTCGCTAACAGGCACTTCGCTAAGTAAACAACATTGTGCTGCATAACACGTGGTCGCTAAGTTCGTATTCCAGCCCCATGTTGAAAGGAGCAATTTTTATGAAGCTCGTGCACCTAGATTTTAGTGCGCATTTAATAACCCCAGCTTTCAAACTTAATCCGAAGCCTTCCACCCTCATGGTTACGCAGTCGCAGTGTTGCTTTTGGGGCACTCAACAAACTTCCTGATTGAGTCTTAAATCTCATGAAAATCTGCGTTGCAGTTCAGTCCTTAAAATATTTATATCTTCAGTATGAAGACCGTAAATGATTCGATAATCGTAGGGCAATATTGTAATGATAGAAATATAAACGGTTTCTGAACTAGTAGCCTCGTACTGTGATATTTTTTATTTACTTAACGAATCCTGATGTAAATTACATTATGATGGCGTACAAAAGCACACATGTAATGAATTGTAAAAGAAATGATAGTGTGCTCATGTTTCAAGAGGGGAACTCCCAAGGGTTTCGTTGCACCGCTGTATTGGAAACAATAATCAATGTTATGACGAACAGGGACAGGCTCGCTTAGTTTTCTACTTAATCTACTGCTTCGCTCCCATAACACGTGCACCCATTGGTCCGGTGTAGACTACAATAGCTATGATGGGCGAGTCTGTTACATAATTAAAAGTCACATAAGATTAAGCAACAACTAGTCATGTGACTGGAAAACACATAACATCAAGTAATGAGCAGTTGGGTCACTAAAGTCACGTAACGTCACTTAATAACTAGCCACTAGACTATAAATCACGTAATAATGCACAACATCTAATGACATGACCAAAATCACCTAACCTTTTCTCACGTGACTGAAGTCCAATCTCCCAACGGGTAACCCTGTGACATGTTCCGCCACAAACAACGTAACACCCAGTCCCGTGATAAAAATGTCAACATCACGTAATGGGTAGCCATGTGACATGTATCAAGCATATCGGTACTTAGTACTAACAAAAAATAGAATTTCTAGCTAAAGCTTGACAATACTTGCGAAACTTAGCTCGGTCAAACTCTAACTCCGCTGATGGTTCCATCTTTGCGCTACTTGTGCAAGCTACTAACTTGGCTTGTACAGTGGCTTACATTGCATACAATAACGTTTTGAGTGGCAGGTCGTCTATAGCGCCTTGCTGCATGCAAATACTACAAGTTGTAGCACTCACTGCCCCAGGAGCCATCGCTTTGACTTATGTGTTAGGAAGCTTTAGCTAAGCAGCCCAAATCCATGTGAACAATGAACTCGATTTTCTCGTCAAAACATGGCGCTGCATAGGGTTGGATTTGTTGCATATAACCCGAAGATAAAGTGTAGTGCACCGTGAAAGGTTTTTTATTTAGGGTTTTGGATCAATCTCAAAATATTGAAAAATTCAATATGAAAAGAGGCCACACGCCACACAATGCATTATTAGATGCAGTTCCCAAAGCTGAGTTGGGGAAATCTATCAAATACTGAGTCGCGGTAGTGCATCAAATCCGCACTTCCGTGACCAGGAAATAAAAATAGAGCTTTGGTAGCTGCATCTATTAATGCATTGTGAGCTAAAAAACGAATGACGTATGATAATGGTAAATCTCCTTGCTTGAAATTACTTGAAATGAAGTTTTTAATCTCTAACACTTCTGAAAAATATTTTTTTTAAGTTGTGACAATTTGATATAAGATCTGAAAATTCAGATAAATCTTTGTCACTTCAATTCTGCAACATATGTGGCTTACTGAAAATTTGTATCCGTTTTGGATGATGAAGGGAGGATTTGCCGAATTCCTGATTCGCTATTTTTTAATTTTTATAAATTCTCTCGAGATGACTGTACGGTTCGATTTCCTCCCTCAAATGCAGCAAAACTTTATTGAAATTGGTAGAATGGTTGTCTCGCAAGAGAGTTTCTCCGTCTTACATGTAAATCAATAGGTTTATGGGAAAATCGTTGTTCCTCCTCAAACTAATGCTCCCTCGCAAGATTTTTTAGAGATGTATTTTCCTTTGTTTGTGTTTGCTTTGTGCCCCCTTGTTTTTGTTTGTCGTTTTGTTTCCGTTTTGCGCTTGCTGTAGATACCACACCCGTTCCCTGCATGCGCTGTGCACTGCGCACGCCAGGAAGCACGCATCAGCATCCTGGAAAGCGAGGTCGATCTGCTCGAAAAAGAGCTTGAACAGAGGAACCGCCTGACTCGAGCCGAGCTCAACGCGCACACCCCGCAGCTGATCACTGATACGGACGATGGATCGGTAAGTACAACAGTGTTGTCACGTGGTACAAATCACGTGACAACATGCCGAGTACGCTTGAAAGGCTGGCACAGTACATACAAAAATCACGTTACGACATGCCGTGTATGCTCGGAGGGCTGGCACAGTACATACAACTATCACGTGACAACATGCCACGTACGCTCAAAGGGTCGGCACAGTAGATACAAAAATGACGTGACAACATGCCGCGTATGCTCGAGGGGCTGGCACAGTACATACAAAAATCACGTGACAACATGCCGCGTACGCTCGAAGGGCTGGCACAGTGCATACAAAAATCACGTGATGACATGCCGTGTATGCTCGAAGGGCTCGAACAGTAGATACAAAAATGACGTGACAAGATGCCGCGTTTCTTCGAAGGGCTGGCACAGTGCATACAAAAATCACACTACGACATGCCGTGTATGCTCGAAGGGCTGACACAGTACATAGAAAAATCACGTGACAACATGCCGCGTACGCTCGAAGGGCTGGCACAGTACATACAAAAATCACGTGACAACATGCCGCGTATGCTTGAAGGGCTCAGACAGTAGATACAAAAATGACTTGACAACATACCGTGTACGCTCGAAAGGCTGGCACAGTACATACAAAAATCACGTTACGACATGCCATGCATGCTCGAAGGGCTGGCACAGTACATACAACTATCACATGACAACATGCCACGTACGCTCAAAGGGCCGGCACAGTAGATACAAAAATGACGTGGCAAGATGCCGCGTACGTTCGAAGGGCTGGCACAGTACACAGAAAAATCACGCGACAACATGCCGCGTATGCTCGAAGGGCTGGCACAGTACATAGAAAAATCACGTGACGAAACGCCACGTATGCTCGAAGGGCTGGCACAGTACATACAAAAATCACGTGACAACATGCCGAGTACGCTCAAAGGGCTGGCACAGTAGATACAAAAATGGCGTGTCAACATGCCACGTACGCTCGAAGGGCTGGCACAGTACATACAAAAATTACGTGACAATATTTCGAGTACGCTTGAAGGGCTGGCACAGCAGATACAAAAATATGACAACACACCGGCACAGTAGATACAAAAATGACGTGACAACATGCCGCGTGCACTCGAAGGGCTATCACAGTACATACAAAAATCACGTGACAACACGTGCGTACGCTCGAAGGGCTGGCACAGTACATACAAAAATCACGTCACAACATGCCGAGTACGCTTAAAGGGCTGGCACAGTAGATACAAAAATGACGTCACAACATGGCAAGTACGCTTGAAGGGCTGGTGCAGTACTTACAAAAATCACGTGACAATGAGCCGAGTATGCTTGGAGGGCTGGTATAGTACATACAGAAATCACGTGACAACATGCCCCATACACTCGAAGGGCTGGCACAATACATACAAAAACCACGTGACAACGAGCCGAGTATGCTTGGAGGGCTGGCATAGTACATACAGAAATCACGTGACAACATGCCGCATACGCTCGAAGGGCTGGCACAATACATACAAAAACCACGTGACAACATGCCGCGTACTTTTGAAGGGCTTGCACAGTACATACAAAAATCACGTCACAACATATAGCATATGCTCGAAGGGCTGGCACAGTACATACAAAAATCACGTGACAACATGCCGAGTACGCTTGAAGGGCTGGCACACTTGATACAAAAATATCGTGGCAACATGCTGAGAACGCATGAAGGGCTGGTGCAGTGCTTACAAAAATCACGTGACAACAAGACGAGTATGCTTGAAGGGTTGGCACAGTACATACAGAAATTACGTGGCAACATGCTGAGTACGCATGGAAGACTGGCACAATAGATAGAAAAACGACGACGTGGTTACATGCTGAGTGGGCATGAAGGGCTTGCACAGTACATACAAAAATACTGTGACAACATGTCGCGTACGCTCGAAGGGCCTGACAACAGTACATACAGAAATCACGTGACAACATGCCCTATACGCTTGAAGGTCTGGCACAGTAGATACAAAAATGACGTGACAACATGCCACGTACGCTGAAGGGCTGGTACAGTAGATACAAAAATGACGTGTCAAGGTGCCGCCTACGCTCGAAGGGCTGGCACAGTACATACAAAAATGACGTGACAACATGCCGCGTACGCTCGAAGGGCTGGAACAGTCCATACAAAAATCACGTGACAACAAGCCGAGTATGCTTGGAGGGTTGGCACAGTACATACAGAATTTGTGAGGCAACATGCCGAGTACGCTTAAAGGGCTGGCACAGTAGATACAAAAATGACGTCACAACATGCCAATTATGCTTGAAGGGCTGGTGCAATACTTAAAAAAATCCCGTGACAACGAGACGAGTATGCTTAGAGGGCTGGCATAGTACATACAGAAATCACGTGACAACATGCCGCGTATGCTCGAAGGGCTGGCACAATACATACAAAAATCACATGACAACATGCCTTATACGCTCGAAAGGCTGGCACAGTACATACAAAAATCACGTCACAACATACTGAGTACGCTTGAAGGGCTGGCACAGTGGATACAAAAATGACGTCACAACATGCCGAGTACGCTTAAAGGGCTGGTGCAGTACTTACGAAAATCACGTGACAACAAGCCGAGCATGATTGGAGGGCTGGCACAATGCATAAGAAAATCACGTGGCAACATGCTGAGTATGCATGAAGGGCTTGTACAGTACATGCAAAAATCACCTGACAACATGCCGAGCACGCTTGAAAGGCTGGCACTGTAGGTACAAAAAACAGCACACAGCACATACTGAAGTTCCGGAGACGAGGGTATTGTCTACATCTTAGACATCAGCATGACCAGGATTGGGGAACATTGGGGGACATCTGCACGTAGCGCCATTTCTCGTCACCCAAAGCGGCAGGGTGCCATAACTGAATGCCAAATAGGCGAAAAAATTTTTATTTGACGCCAACAGCTGCTTATCGAAAGCAATTCGTAGATCTATACAGCAAAGACTTATTTGAACAGTCTGACAAAGTAACAGTTTCGCAGTACGAACTGCGTGGCTTCCAACACTGTTTAGTATTTTTCATGAGATATGATCTTTTCTCACCTATTTCCCTTTAGTTATGGCAAGCTGCCGTACCTGTCGCAGAGAGATGGCGCCACGTTCAGTTGTCCCCAATTCCTGGGAATGAACACACTTAGCTACGACCTGAGAGAAGCTGCCGTTGTGGGCAAAGTACGATGATAAATATAATGGACAGAAAATGATGAGAATATGAGCACAGGGAGATAATATGCACCTTGCCTTGCCACCTAAATTTTGCGCTGTAAACCTATGATATTTCCGCAGTGCACCGCAAACGAAAAATCATGAAAATTATTTTTGAGCGCGCTTGATAAAAACGAGGACGCAGAGAGGCGTACCGAAAACAACAGAAGGAACGACTTATGAAAATACAGTACTTTTATTCACATTGGCCCGAGAAGTCGCATTACGGAAAATTAAGAAGACGCAATCAATAACAACAATCAACATGTTTTGTGCACCAGTGTAAGGAAAAAAAGGCTAACTCTCTTCGAAAATGTGCCGTTCTACGAGGCCGAGCCCGTTGGACAGCACATTTTTTACATTTACTAAGCCCAAGTTGATTACTAGTTGAACACTAAACTGTAATAAAAGTTGATCACTAGTCGATCATCAGTCCAATACGAACATTTATCGATTACCAACTGGCCCATGTTGAAATCCATCGTTAGTATCTTTGTCACCACTGCTCATTCCCTGGCTCGAGAACTCGCATCTTTTCGTTTTGTCACTGTTCAGTGTATAATTCTCTCTAAAGAACAAAACAAAAACAAAAAATGACTGATAATCTTCTTTGCCGTGTACACGACAGGACTTTAAAGCGACTTCAGACGGCCGTTGTGAAGCGAAGGTGACGAATAAATATTCTTGCCACTGATTGGAACAGGGGGGAGATGAACGACAAGGGAGAAGGCAGGGAGGTGAACCAGGCACATGTCCGGTTTGCTACCCTACGCTGGTGGAAAGGGAAGGGGGATAAGATGATCGAGAGAGAGGGAAGAGAAGAGAAAGAGAAAAAAAAAGAGCATTGTCAGTCAATGGGCTGATGCCGCAGCGGGCCTTCCGGGTGTCCGCGAGCTTTTTTTAATTCTTCACAGAAGCCAGACTGAGCCAACTTAACTCAGGTTGATTAAGTTCCCTCTTTTACTCGTATCGCAGCTTTATCTGTCAGACTGCCTTATCTTTTGCCCTCCGTATTCATTGCTTTTCTTTCTTTATCTCACGAACTCCTCCAAAAAAGTATGGTTCCGCTTTAGTATCAAACTTTTCCGTGTGTCGTACCTGCGCAGTTCTAAAAAAATGTCTGCTGAGGACAACACTTGCGTATTACGCCACTCGGGACACAAACGTAACGACAGGAAAGGAGAGCGATAAAGAAAAAAATTATTTTGAAAGAACACTTGGTCCAAGTCGTCACTTTTATACTCGAACCTACACGGGTGTGAGAAGTGCCTTTGTGTAGATATGCTGACATATTTTATGGGTACTAACACTAGTTGCCGCAATGAAGACCACAGTTCTCTTGATGGACCAGTACGACACAGCCAGTTATACGTATGTGAACGTGCTAGGTCTGACGGATGTTTTAAGAATGACATCAGCTGGCGCATTGTAGAATGATTCGAGATTTCCGGGAGGAGTCCGTGAGTCTCGTAATTAGAATGATGACTTTTCAAAGGAAGGAATGTACTTGATTGCACAGTGAAAAAACTGACTTCACTGGACAGTTTTAAATGTCGACGAAACTATGTGGTGCGACAACTTCCCCTTACTTAAATAACACACAGAAGTGTCTAGAAAAAAATAGCACATGAAAGCACTGAATAAAATGTAAGAACGTGAACGCAAGCCTAATAAAATTTAAAAAAGTTCAGGTTACTCTTTTTTTAACCAGCTCTTACTTCCCTCTTACCCTTGAAATATACACGCTAACTCTCTTTTGAAGATCAGTATACCATCTTCGGAGAGCCGTGCAAGGTGCTACGCTCTTGAAAAGAGTTAATGGTTGTCTTCAAAGATCATTATATATGCAGTAAATCATAACTCACCTATAAAAGAGCAACATGTGCTGTTTTTTCTGTCTTCTTAGAGTACATGTACTAGTCATGGGCAATAATGTCAAGAATCAGCAAGGAATTGTTCACCAAATGTGGAACACATGTAGGTATTGGTGGCTTTGGCAAACACGCCGAAACCCCCCAAAAATAGTGTGTGTTTGTTGTGTATGTAAGAGAGGGAGAAAGAGAGAAAGAAAGAGAACGACGCAACTGCTTTTCAAAAGCTTTCTTGCGAATCTTTGTATTTATCTTATTTTTGTATTGTATGTTTATCTTATCTTTGTATTTTTCGATCAATAAACAGCCATACAATGAGAACACCCCGTCCCCTTGATCTTTCCCTTTGTTGTGCATCCTTCATGCGGTTTTGACCTCATGCGTCTTTGACACTCTTTATGTCTCACTGTTGATTGCTATGTATAAAGGACCACGAACTATAAACGAGAAACAAGTAGCCGCTTGCAAAGTGATGTCTTCTGTGCGCGTGCGTGTGTGGGATTCAATTCACCACTGGCATTGTTCGCAGCTGGACGAGCTCCGGATTGAGCTGAACAAGCGAGACCAGGAGCTCCTGGCCATGGGAGCCAAAATGAAGACGCTGGAGGAGCAACACCACGACTACCAGCGACACATCGCCGTGCTCAAGGAGTCCCTGTGCGCCAAGGAGGAGCACTACAACATGCTACAGGCTGACGTCAGTATGGCTTTGTTCTCTACGCCATAAGCCAAACATTGCCTATGGATCAACAAAATTCGTTGATGGACGTTCATAATCTTAAATACTGGATAGCCTTGATTCAACACAGGGCAGAGAAATTACATTAGTGTCCATGGCAAGTGCTTGTCCTCGCATTAGTGTGTTTCGTCTGTCTTCTGTTTAATCCGTGGTATACCCGCTTGCACATGTGAGTGACAACACATACGTACAGTATATACAGTGTTTTATTGGTCATAACTCGTATAATTCTGTTGAGTTGTGCAATCAGTTCTGCCTTTTTCATTACTGCTTTGTGACGCGTGAAACGTAGAGCCGAAATCTAGTCTATTTTTGACCTATTCTTGGCTAAAACATGCGTGACATTATTATAACTTGCAGCGCGCGATGTCCGGGCTTTGTACCCTGCAGTTGACTTGTCACCACACTGCAGACGTCACGTCTAAGCTGCGGGTACCGACATCCTTGAAGAAATCGCTGTTATTAAAGACGATAGTCTTTCTTGGGGACCTTCGACGCAAAAATTTTGGTCTGCATGTCCGTCTGCACATTTGTCTGTTTGTCCGCCTTGTCGGGGTCTCGGCGAGGCGAACGAGCGCATCGCCACGCCACGCTCTTGGAGTGAACGGACACAGCAGACGCGGTCGGTACAAAGCACACAACATACATATATTTATTAACTAATTCAGACGACGATATCGTCCGCCGAATGATACCCCGATTTCAATTAACACGCTATCATACAAACAACATAACGCAATGACACACTAAACACACAATAACATAATAAACACACACTAACACACCCAACACACTAACACATACCCAAGGCGGCGTCGCCAACGCTTGACTTTCCACGTGTGACCCCGGCGCGAAGCCCGCGGTGCCGAGCACCAGGGACCCACGCTACAGACAACCGTTCGCGGCAGCCGCCACGCGCAGAAGAGACTCGCTCAACTCTCACCCACCGCCAAGGCCTGCCTTCTGCCAGGGGCCACCGCCGGCGCTACCACTCTACCAACAGTGGTACTCAAAGCGAACACAATGCATCTATTGCCCGGCGGTGGTCACCACTGAAATAAAACCTTGGGGCGAGACACATGCGCCACGCGGCGCAGACAACTTTACAGGGGGGGGTGTCAGCGCCCTCACACTCCCCCAACCTTAAATCAAACCATATCCCAAAATCAAAAATGAGCTACACAAGCTTTAACAAAAAAAAATAATATCGCACGATCATAATGTCCTTGCACCACAACACCGCCGCCGGTCGACACTGCTGCACTGTCCGGCTAGACTTCACCTCAGTACCGGCCCCGCAACAGCAACGTTGCCATCGGCGCGACGATTCGTCGCTAGCGCCGACACGTCTTCCAGTTGCGACCAGCACTCGCGAGGGCGCCGGACTGCAGGCAGTTGTGCAGGTCCCAGGCATCTCCATCGCCCGACCTCACGACCGCATTCCTGGCCAGCGACGTTGACGATGTGCAGGACAGCCGGCCATGGATGACATCCCTCCCGCTGAATACATCAATAACAACAACAAAAAAAAACTTGAAAGAAAACAATCGAGCAGGTCCTCGGGAAGGGAGCTTCGAGCTTTTCGTCCACATGGTACGTTGGTCAGTACTGCAAGCTAATACATCGGTGGCGGCCGAGACGCCCATCAAATTAAAACAAAAATCACTTTTCCTAACTCGTGCATCGCAAGATAAAAAAAAGTGAGGGAAGCAGAGCGCAACACCTCAATGCCACGATCCACCTAGTTGTGCCATGTGCGACAGGCGGCTGCGCAGAGCCTTAGGCTTAATGAGTCGCTCGGCAACAACCGGCATCCACCCAGCCTAGGCGCAGAAGAGGCAGCCGCGAGGAGACGTCCACTCTGTGAGGTGGCCCTATCGCTCGCCGCACACAGCAGGTTACCGAGCGATCGGCGTCCACCGCCCCGGGCGGTGTCATGACGCCTCGGCGTCGAGCCGCAATACCAGACAGCAACGACACCCGGCTCTCTGAGCCCAAAGATATAGAAGAAGCTGTTTACAGAAAATCTGACCACCCACGAGGCTTCCGTACTCACTCGCTTTGGGCCTGGCCTACAAACCACGTGCTCTAGGCCTTGCTCACCCCAGGATGCCGACCGCATGGCTCTCGTCCTAATTCAACAATGTTTTTGAAAACTAACAACAACAAAAAATAACAACACTTGCGAGCAAAAAAAATAAATAGAAAGTCAACCTGCCGGCAAATTCAAACACGTTACAAAACCAATCCCCTCGCTTCTCAACAAAGCACGCCACCGACGCTAGCAAAGAAGTCCCCCCTATGCCTACTCTACTCCGGCTCTAACGAAATCCCTGTATTGAACCGCAAAAACTGTCATTCGATACTCCAAGAGCTCCACGTTGGGCAGCCAGTGTCGGGGTCTCGGCGAGGCGAACGAGCACACCACCACGACACGCTCTTGGAGTGAACGGACACAGCAGACGCGGTCGGTACAAAGCACACAACATACATACATTTATTAACTAACTTAGACGACGATATCGTCTGCCGAATGATACCCCAATTTCAATTAACACGCTACCATACAAACAACATAATGCAGTGACACACTAAACACACAATAACATGATAAACACACACTAACACACCCAACACACTAACACATACCCAAGGCGGCGTCGCCAACGCTTGACTTTCCACGTGGGACCCCGGCGCGAAGCCCGCGGGACCGAGCACTGGGGACCCACGCTACAGACAACCGTTCGCGGCAGCCGCCACACGCAGAAGAGGCTCTCTCAACTCTCGCCCACCGCCAAGGCCTGCCTTCCGCCAGGGGCCACCGCCGGCGCTACCACTCTACCAACAGTGGTACTCAAAGCGAACACAATGCCATCTATCGCCCGGCGGTGGTCACCACCGAAATAAAACCTTGGGGCGAGACACGTGCGCCACGCGGCGCAGACAACTTTACAGGGGGGGTGTCAGCACCCCCACAGCTTTTAACAATACCCTAAACGGCACCAAATGATACCCCAAACGGCCGACCACTTCCACAGCGCCCACCAATATTGCTCAAGGTTTAGCATTCCTACTTGTGCGTTTGTCAATTAAAAAGCAATTATTGCGCATATCTGAGGCACCACAACAACACGTCAAAATTCTGTATGTGTGTCTTTTTACTATAAAAGGTATACAAAAGTAATTATAAGGACCTTAACGCTTATTACGCTGCACTGACGTTGCAATGCTTGCACAAAAAGGCAAGTGCTTCCAACGCTATGCTAAGAGGACACGGTGGTGGCAGCTACCCGTCGCCTTGCGTTCTACTGCTTATCACCTCCGAGACGGGCGCGCACGCCGCGCGCTTCGTTTTCTATGATAACTGCCAGATAGTGCTCATGTCTCATGCGTGACGGGACTTGATGCACTCGTTCACCTCTGCTGAATGCTCGAGGCACTCTGACGCAGTGCCTCCAGAATACCATTCACCAATTTTCTTGCCCAGAACATCAAATAAACGTTTTGTGCACTCTCTCCAGATGCAAGATTATCGTCTTTCGATGACATTTACAGTGTAACATGCAGATACGGGGCCAATTTTTTCCCATGAATCAAACAGAAATGAACAAGCAGCATTTTATTGCGTTTCTTGATGTTCAAATGGTTCTTTATTTAGTGCAGTTAGATCGTTTGCTAGTGATTAGGCGGCGCATGTATTCTTGAATGTTTATCTTAATTTCTAGGTAAGTGGGACACTGCTGTTGATAATATTGTCGTTTTAGATGTCATACATTCACGTAAATTGTTATTTCACTTCAGTGTCCCTTTAGGTTTGCACGAATGCGGCTTTGGAGTTAGAGTTTCGCCCCAGAAAAAAGGAAAGAATGCCTTTGTGAATTGAATGCAGCATAGAGTATTTAGAGCAAATAGTAGATGATTTGAGCAGCTCTCTCACGCAGTAGAGAATGAAAGAAGCTAGGTGAGGTGTGTTTATAAGAGATTGTGAACGCTTTAGAGCGCCACAGGCACTCTGCTATGGGAGAGTCGTGTTAAAAGAAATCTATTCTCACGAACAGTGAAAATCAATTACAATCCAACAGAACATCCCGACGGGACACAATATCCATGGACACATCAAAAATTGTTACAAAATAATATGTTTACTTATGTACACGGAACACAAAATACACAGGTACACAAGAATTGTTACAAAAAGATATGTTTACATATGTACAATACATGGCAAACGAAGAACACACAAATGAAATGTAAAGATCTATATGTTAAGTATTTACATAGTATTTAAAAGGAAAGCTATTTTTGTGAAGGCTAAACAAACATTAACCTACCAAAACCAGGCTGGCCTGAAAACAAGCTTTACACGTCTCTCGCAGACGAACACAAAAGGCCAGGAACAGTGTCGAAGGGATTCCTCCGCACCCCGAAAGAAGAATGCCTCCGACAAAACAGATAGTATTTCTTTGTACAGTCGCTCCAAAATCGGGAAGAGAGCGCGACGTGGACGGCCTGCTGTAACAGCCTCCCAGCGATTCCACCAAAGACAGTAGGCACCAGCAACAATGAGAAGGCAGGTGAAGCGGCCTCCAGAACAACGTCCAGAAGAAACAAAGCGGTTTACTTCGAGGCCCCGAAATCCAGCATGCACGGCCCTCCAGAGAACACGAGCAACGACGCATTGTCTTAAAACATGCTGACTGAGCCATTCTCCACCTTTTGACTTTTGAATGACTGGGCCATTCTCCACCTTTTGAGGTGGTCAAGGGTAGGAAGAATGCCCCACCCCAGTCGCCACATGAAATCCCGAAGGTAGCCAGGTAGAAATGATGCTGTCGGCGTGCTCTAAGACACACGACCAAAGCGGGTGCGGCGTGCCGGAGGAACTAACGAGAGCAACAAAGCGGCTGTTGTGTTAACGATAGGATTGTCTCTACCTCAAGGCAAGTCGACTGAATATG